AGGCAGCCGCGTCAAAAATGCGTTACTATTCAATGCATTCAATCAGGCAGCAGGCCGCCAGCTTCCCGGCCTGGCGGCGGGCTTGCCTGTGTGCAGACGCCGGCGGCGCCGCCGCTGGCCGCCCGCCGCTCCACCCACTCGCGGCGGATCTGGGGCAGGCCCTGGCGAGGGTCCACGCCCTGCGTGGGCGTGGAGTGGGGTGTGGCCGCGAGCCGCTAGCGGCATGTGAGCTGTGGCGGCATGTGGGCTGTGGCGGGCAGCTAGCGCTTGGCAGCAGGGAGGCCCCCGCAAGCATCCCTCGCTTGCAATACTGCGGCTCGGCTCTGCGCTCCATGCAGTGGGCCATGCACGGCGGGCGTTGCCGGCGGTACTGCTGCTGTACATTTTGCAGTACAATTCTGGCAGTACCTGGGGGCCGCTGGTGTCGTACAGGTCGAACACGCCACTGCCGCCGGCCAGGCTCACACGGCGGAAGGGCACCTGCACGCAAGCGGGTGAGCGACGCAGGTGTGAGTGGAGGCTGGAGGGCAGAGGGAGGCGAGAGGAAAGTGTGGGTAGGGCTTTGAGCACGCCTGGTTCTGGTCGGGCAGAGGCAGGGCAGGCCAGCAGCAGCAACGCGAGAGGTTTGGATGGCAGGGCCAGCCCACGCTGCCGCAGCGCCTCAGATCCTGCGCCATGGCGGTGCCTCTCGCTGCCTCCCCGTGCAGTCCTACCCTGCCGCACACCCACATGGCCACCATACATGGCGATGCCACCCACGACAAAGCCGCCACCCGCTCACGTGCATGGTGGTGCCACCATGCTGTACCGCCTGGTAGTGCTTCTCTGAGGAGGGGAAGCAGTCCTCGAAGGTGGGCAGCTGGCGGAACTGGAGGGCCGCCTGGTCCTGCAGGCTGGCAGTGGGGCATTGCGTAAGCAACAATGGGGCCTGGCACGGACGCTGACTTGGCGCGATGCCAGCCAGCACTCATCCAGGCGTGGCTCGCCCGCCAGCTGCCCCTGGGCAGCCAGTACTTGCACCGAGGACTCACTCACCTTTTGAGGGCGGTTCACGGAGAGCTTGGGGGCTCCGCTGCCGGGCTCGGGCGGTGCAGGTGTCGAAGTGACGGCAGGCTGGGCGGCAGCGGTCGGGCGGTGACTGCGCCGGGGGCGGGGCAGAGGGAGGCGGCCAGAAGACGCTCCGAAGGCGCCCATACGCCCCGGATGCGTCAAATGGATGGCTGACAGTGCCATGGCGACCGTGCTGGAGCAGCGGACTCCAGCAGATGCTGGTCGATGGGGGCCGCACGAGAGATAGAGACGCGTGGGAGTTTGTTAGACAGGGTATCGAACAGAACGAGCGACAATTCATCGAAAGCTGGGCAACGCGGACAGTAGATCCAGCTCTGGTGGTTTTGGCTCATTGGCAACCCGCCAGCCTGGCGCCGCCAACGGCGGCTGTGGTTCCATGCAAGAAGCCCAGTAATCGTCTGTAAATCATCACTTTCTTACATGAAGTTCCACAGGCGACCCCCAAGAAAAGAAAAAACGAACCCACTGACAAACGGAGGGAAATGGCAGCGGTGCCGCCGCCAACTGCTCGCGCGGCATGGGCGCAACATGCTGGCAGCTGCGCGTTCAGAGAAGCCGGGCTCAGGCTGTTCCGGACGCATGACACCACATGGTCCCGGGCGTAGGTCGCCACTAGCACTGCGCAGGGCAATCACATCCGGTAGGGGGTGCACCTGGAGGCGACACACCTGGCCCCCTTGCAGCAGTGGAAAGTTTGGGTGCAGATGGGGGTACAGAAGCTGACGCATTCGCCTCCGTTGGTGCAGCGCCCGCTGCAGCAGCCTGCGCAGCACACGTTGCTCATGCCGGGCCCGCCGATGGTGCATCTGGCCCGGTCCGGTAGGCAGGGGAATGGAGGCCTGGGCGGCGGGCGCGGCGGCGATTTCGGCGGTTTTGGCGACGGCGGCGGCTTGGGCCGCGGTGGTGGCTTAGGCGGGCGTGGGGGAGGCTTGGGTCTGGGAGAAGGCGGTGGGCGTGGAGGCTTGGGCCGAGGAGGAGGCCTTGGAGGACGAGGAGGAGGCCTTGGGGGACGAGGCGAGGGAGGAGCGCGTTGCGCCACGACTGCAGCAGAGGCGGACCGGGACGGGGCGCCTCAGCACCCAACCGCACTGGCGCCGCTGCTGCGCTGCGCTTCAGCACGCATCACAACCCCAGCTCACCGGCTTCCAGCAGCATCGCCAGCAGGAGGGCACAGAGGAGGAGGGCAGAGGCAGGCCTGTCCCGCATGGTCGCACGGCGCAGAGCTGCGCTCTCAAACCCCTGCGGTTTACGTGAATTCGATGGCAGCACGCGAAACAAACAGCACCAGCGCTGAGTCCCTAAGTTAGGGTTCTATCACTACCGCTTCCCGGATCACGAATGTCTGCTGCTCTGTCCATTCAAATGCGTTCGGGAGGTCGTGGGAGGCCGAGTGGGTGCAGGCCGTGGCATGCCGCACGACCCCGCCTGCTTCTGCCTGCTCCGCCCGCTATACTCCCGCCCTCGCCGCAGGCCTTGATCCGGAGCTCATATTTAAAGATGCAGCACAGCAGATTCGTTGAAAACCTTCTTTTTCACCGCGATCTGCTGCCGCCGTAGAGGGCCCAGCCTGGCGTCCCATCACACGAGGAACAGCAGCCGCTCTGCAGCAGAGGGGTCGGGCCTGCCGCCGCGCCGCCGTGCCTCCCACACGTCCACGGCGGCCGCCGCCACCGCCGCAAGCTGCGGCGCAACGCCGGCCACGGCAGCCGCCCCCGCGAGGCCGCCGGCGAGGGAAGCCACGAAGGCGGCCGTGCCTCGCTCCCAGGCAGCGCCCTCGCCGCCGCAGCTGGGCTGCACGCCTGGCAGGTGGGCCGCCGCCCAGAGGGCCAGCCAGCAGCGGTACAGCTCTCCAAAGTGCTGGTGGCAATGCGGCAGTACCATACAGGCTCCGGCCTCCTGAGGCTGCAGCGCCGCCGCCAGCCGCTGCAGCCGCGCCGCCGCGGCCGCCGCCCAGCCCTGCGCCGCTGCCGCGGCGGGTGACCCAGCTGCCGCTCGGGGCAGCAGCTGCGCTAGCGAGCGCGCCGCCAGCTGCGGGGCACGGGGCAGAGACAGGCGGGCATGAGCACGTTGATGCTCAGGGAAAAGGGAGGAGCGGCGGGGAGTGCAGGGGTTCAGCAGCAAGGGAAGCAGAGGCAGGGAAGCAGGGGGACACACTGCTAGACTAGCGGCCCCAGGGCAACCATGCGCAGCAGGCAAAGCAGCCCAGCGGCAGCCCAGCAGGCAGGCAGAGGAGGGCGCCGCCTGGGGCAACAGCAAGACAGGCGGCAGCGCAGCAGGGCCCCCCCACCTGCGCCAGCAGCAGCGGCTCCTCATGCGTGTTCTCGGGCTCCGGATCAAACAGCTTCTCGGCAGCTGCCGCCGCCCTGGACGCCGCCGCCGCAGCCCTGGCCGCCGCTGCCGCGCCGCCCGCCTGCTGGCCGGCAGCCGGCGAGCCCCTGTTGCTGCCGCCGCCGCCGCTGCTCTCATCGCCATCGCCTGCCGCGTCCGGCTCGCCAAGAGGGCAGCAGAGGTGGGCGAGCAGCGCCAGCAGGGCCGGGTGCGGGCCGAAGCGTGCGGCGAGGGCGGGGAAGGCGGCACGGAGCAGGCGCTCCTCAGATGGCGCCGCCGGCTCCGAATCCACCGCCGCCACCGCCGCCAGGGCTGCAGCCGCGCCCGACAGGCGGCGCGTGAGGGAGGCCGCGCTTGCGCTGGAAGGCCGCCCCACGCTGCCGAGGCTGCTGCAGGAGGAGAAGCCGGCGAGGGCGGCGGCGGCCGCGGCCGCCGCCGCCGCACGCACCTCATCCTCCTCATCCTCTGAAAGCTGCAGGGCCGCCGCCCAGGCGCCTGCCGCGGCCTCTGCTGCCGCATCTGACGCACGAGGGTCAAGTGTGAGCAGGTCGGAAGAGGCTACCGCCGCCGCCGCCGCCAGGCGCAGCTCGGGCACCTGCCACGGCTGGCGCCACTCGCCCGCCAGCGCCAGCAGCCGCTCGGCGGCGGCCGCGGGCGGCGTGCCGGCGCGCGGGATGCCGCCGTGCAGGCTCAGCAGCCGGCGCAGCAGTGGGCCCAGGCAGCGCACCGCGTGCTGCACGGTACGGGGGTCGTCGGCGGCGGCGGCCAGCCGCAGCATGGAAGCAAACTCTGCCTCTGCCTCTGCCTCTGCTCCTGCCTCTGCCTCTGCCTCTGCTCCTGCCTCTGCCTCCGCCTTCGCCTCTGCCTCTGCCGCGCCGTCACCGCCGACGCAGCCGCCGCCGCCGCCGTCGACGGCAGCAGAGCCTGCCGGCCCTGCTGAGCCTGCTGAGCCTGCCGTGCCTGCTGTGCCTGCTGTGCCCGCTGTGTCTGCTGCATCCGGCGGCGGCAGCAGCGCCAGCAGGTGCAGCAGGCGGCGCTGTGCCTTGTGGTGCCCCTCCCGCCGCAGAGCCTCCAGCAGCAGGCGCCTGAGGACTGGGGGCTCCGCACAGCCACCTGCGCCGCCGCTCGCGACGACGACGCCGCCGTCGCCGCCGCTGGCCCGCCACACCTGCCGCTGCGCCTGCTGGCCTCCGTGCTGCGCCTGCTGTGCCTGCTGTGCCTGCTGTGCCTGCACGTGCCGCAGCATCACCTTCAGGGCTGCACCCCGCACCTCGTACACAGGAGAGCGCAGCGCCGCCGCCAGGCGCGGGAGCAGCTCGTCGCCGCCGGTGCCGCCGCCAAGGCCCCCCCGCTGCTGCTGCTGCCGCTCTCCCTGCTGCTGCTGCACTCCCTGATTCTCCTGCTGCTGCTGCTGCCGGCGCCGGAGCAGCAGGGAGAAGCATAGCTGGGTGGCGTGCTTGTAGGCAACGCTGAGCATGGGGCTGATATAGTCTCGCGTCGGGGCGGCGGCGCCAGCAGACCTGCGGGCAGGCGCGGCGGGTGGCAGGGCAGCTGCTCAGGAGCACATACCACATACAGAATAGCTGTCTTCTGCAGAAGATACTCAAGAGAAGAAACTCGGAGCAGGCAGGCACGGTGTGTGGATTGCGGCCGGGGCGGGCTGCCCCTCTGGCTGCCCCTCCCCACCTCTCCAACGCCTGCCAGCAGAGCCGCTCCACCTCAGCCAGCCATGCAGCCGCCGCCGCCGCCCCCGCCGCCGCCGCGCCCTGCTGCTGTTGCTGGCCATGCTGCTGCCGGCGACCGCTGGGAAGCAAGGCCGCGGCTGCCGCTGCCACCCTCACGTATTCTAAGCTCACAGCCGCCGGCACGCAGCTGCCGCTGCTGCCGCCCTCGTACGCAAGGGCACACGCCGCGGTGGCGCAGCCCATCAGGGGCGGCGCCGCCGCCGCGGCGAGCGCCTCGGCGGCTGCCGCGTCGCCCGTCTGCGCCGCACCCTCCAGCAGCGCGCGCAGCTGCAGCAGCTGGCCATGCAGAGCGTTGAAGGGCGGACGCTGCTGCTGCGGCTGCGGCTGGCTGGCAGGCGCACCGCCTGCTGCAGCAGCCGCTGCCGCAGCCGCAGCCGCCACGCCTCGGGCGACAGCTTCACCCAGCGCCGCCGCCGCCGCCGGCCGCTGCTCGGGCGGCACCAGCGGCGGCAGCGCGGCAGCGGCCAGCCGCCGTACCGCCAACGTACCGCTGCCCGCGCACCGCTGGATGAGCGGGGCAAAGGCGGCCGGCGACAGCCGCGCCTCCACCAGCCCGCTGCTGCCGCTGCTGCCGCTGAGGCGGTTGTGCTGGGAGGCGCGCAGGCGGGACAGCAGTACCAGCACAGGGAACAGGCTGGGGTGCATGCCGCCGACGCCGCCGGCGCCACTGCTGCCTGGGCCAGAGGCGCCACCAATGCTGCCTGCCGCTGCGGCGCCGCCGTCCAGCGCCTCTGTGGCCGCCGCCAGCTGGCGCAGCAGGAAGGGGTGCAGCTGGGGGTGGCGGGCGAAGAAGTCGGCCGCCGTGGGAGCCCGCTTGGCGGCCACCGTGCCCTGCGGCAGCGGGAGGGTTGGTGCGGCGGGCAGCCAGGGTGGGCACAAACCAGGACCGTGCTGTGCACGCATGGACATGCTGAGGCTCCTCCATCCGATTCGGATAGAATTCTGCAGGGAAAATCTCTCGGGAATGCTGCTCGGGAATTCCCGGGAATTCCCCGGGAACGGCCGGGAATGGCCGGGAATGGCCGGGAATCCCCGCGAATGGCCGGGAATGCTCGGGAATTCCCGGGAATGCACAGCAATTCTCAGAATTTCATGAGAATTTTGAGGCTCTGGGGCTGAAGCAATTTGTGCTGGTGCACAGACCCCTGGCGGAGACCGGGCAGGGCACCAAGCAGCTATAGGGAAAAGAAAACTGCGGCCAGGGCGTTGCTGGCGAGGCGCCGCCTCACCTTGCCGGCGCTGTTGCGGAAGCCCAGCACCCGCACCAGCAGCGCGGTGTAGCAGAGGCTGGCCGCGTTGCGGACCTGCGGGGCGGCAGGGGCGGGCAGGCAGGCAGGCTGAGGCTTACCACCGTTGTCCGCCGCTCTCCAGTGCGCGGCAGACCCTCAAGCAGCGGCTCTCCGTTCTGGCTGGCATTCATCGGTACTGCAAAGCGCCGAAACCTCCCGCTGCCCACCCCCCGCGTGCAGCAGCCACAGCGGCAGCCTTAGGCCGCGGCTAAGAAAGGCCTTCTTTGAAGGCGCTGGAGCTAGTGTCTAAACCCTCCGAGAGGGCACAGGTTCGATTCCTCCCATGTCGAAACTTTGTGAGGACAAACGCGGCATAGCTGACCGGCTCAGCGCCAATCCAAGCCAATTCCTTCGGGAACGCCTAATAGAATCGCCAAGGCTTCGGCACAGGCCTCCCCGGGACCCATTCACTACTAGTGGGGGGTACTGCACTTGGCGCGTCGGGCAGATCAAATAATGGTCTAAAGCTAGACGTTAAAACCGGGAAGTGAAGCTTGTGGAGGCTCTTCCCCACCTTTACCTTTACCTTTAGCCTGCCCGCCCGGCAGGGCCCGCCCCCGCACCTCCCACTGCGGCGCCGCCATGCCCAGAACGGCGGTCTGCATGGCTGGCGCCAGGTAGGCGGACACGTCCACCGCCAGGTAGGCATCCTGGAAGGCCATGCGCAGGCAGTTGAGGGCGTGCACCCTGCGGAGAAAGAAGGAGGAAAGGAAGGAGGGAGGGAGGAATGAGGGGCACATGCGGTTGCCCGGTCAGTCGGCTGTGGGTCGGTTGGGTGTGGGTGGTGACGCGGTCGGCGGCTCTGCCCTGCGCTGATGCAGAAACCGCCACACCCCCAGCCCCACACACCGCACCGCCGCACACCACACCACACCACACACCTGGGCCACGCGTTGGCGGCGTACTGCCGCTCGTCTGCGGCGGTACGCAGCAGCTCCGCCATGCCGCGGTGCAGCAGCACCTGCAGACAGGGTGCCAGGCAGGGTGCCAGGCAGGGACAGGTGTGCGTGGTGGAAGTTGCGGCGGTGGTTGCAGCATGTGTGCAACTGTGTGTGATGGGACGGGGGGGTAGGCCGGGAGGTTGTGGCGGTGCTATCAGCGTAGGTGCATCTGCGTGTGATGGGGTGGGACCCCAGCCAGGCCCACCTTCTGGCTGCTGTTTGGCTCTGAATAGAAGATGGACACCACGCCAAACGGCAGGCCGGCTGCAGGCAAGGACAGACCAGCAGCAGGCACGGCGTGGTGGGGTGGCGCAAGCGCTTCCGCAGGAGCAGCAGCAGCAGCAGCAGCGGTGGCGCCGGCAGCAGCAGCAGCAGTTGGCAGGGGCAGTTGGCAGAGCCAGGCGTGCCAGTTGCTGCTGCTGCGGCGGCCGGCGTGGCATGCAGGCAGGGGAGGCGCACCGGAGCGGCGCACGATGTCGCCGCTGCCCTGGCCCGGGCGCCGCGCAAAGGCCAGCAGCTGCTGCAGGCAGCGCTGGGGCAGGGCGCGGAGCGCGGGGTCCTCCAGCTGTAGGAGCCTGCAGGGGGCGCGGCGTACGGGAGCAGGGACAGGCGATGTGTGTGTGTGCGTGTGTGTGTGTGTGTGCCGCGTGTGCGTGTGCGCGCGCGCATGAGAGTGAGAGAGAGAAGAGAGAGAGAGCGCATGTCGAGGGCTGCGGTCCTGCCGCCACCCCATGCAGCAGCAGGACGATGCATGACAGGCCGCCAGTGGCAGAAACGTGCCACGGTGCGGCCGCCCGTTGCGGCAGCCGCCCCCGCCCCCACCCCCGCCCCGCGGCCCACCTCTCGCACAGCGCCGTGAATCCCTGCTGCGTCTTGTCCACGGCGCCGCTGTGCTTGAGGGCGCAGAGCAGGTGGGTGAAATGGGAGGCCATGCGGGACAGCTGGCAGGCATCCAGCAGCGCCGCGGGCCCTGCGGGGGCGGCAGCGGCACCCGCGGTACGAATTGCAGTACCAAATGTGGTACAAACAGGCAGTGCGCCAGCCCGACAGCAGCCAAGGAAGAGGCGGGTCAAGTAGCAAGCGGCGGGGGCATCCTCGGCAGGTGCACCGCCTGGCACGGGCATGCATGCACACAGGGCAGGGCGCCGGCGCTGGGGGCGTGGGCAGCAATTCGCACCTTGGATGGGAAGCGCACGAACCAGGTTGCCTAGCAGCAGCCCGCACTCCTTGCTGCTCTGCCAGCAGCCGGTGTTGATTATCTGCAGAGGGGCGGAGGGGCGCGTCTTGCGTGTGTGGAAGTGGTGGTTGACTGCTCAGTACCAGTACAATGTGTGGAGGCGGCACGTGTGCCTGCTAACTCAGCTCACCTGCGCACGAGGCCCCAATGCGTCGGCGCTGCTCCCCTCCTGCTGCTCTGCGCTTTCTTCCAGCTCCGCGCTTTCCTCATCCAGCGCCACGTCATCGGCATCCACGTCAGCAGCATCCATATTCTGATTCTGCAGCGCCAGCCACCGTGTGGTGACAAGAAGCAGGTCCGAGCAGCGGCTGGGTTGCCAGGGCCGGCCCAGCCTGCAAGGCAGGCCGGCAGGCAGCACCAGCAGCAGAAACGGCAGCAGCCAAGGGCACCGCTGCGGCCGCTGGCTCCTACCCCCCACCCTTGCTGGCCCAGCTGGCGGGGGTGGGCAGCCGCCCGGCGGTGTGGGCACACCTGTGGTTTGCTGAGGATGGGCAGGGTGAGGTCGCTAACAGCATAGGTCAGGTCAAGCAGGCGAGCCACCAGCCCCCGCCAGTCGCGCGCCGCGGGCTGCTGCCCGTCCTCGCCGCCGGCCTCCGCCGCCGCCTGCCGCTCAGCCAGGCGCTTCCAAGGGAAGTGCGGCACGGCATACCTGCAAAGGATGGGTGGCAATGGGAGGGTGGATGGAAGGATGGAAGATTGGAAGGGGGATGGAAGGAGGGTTGCCGCACAAGGTACGGGAGCAAGGCCTTGGACCCACAGAGGGCAGGGTGGTCACTAACCGCCCTGCCCGCTGCCCTGCGCGCCGTACGCCGTCCTCTCTCTGCCCCATTTCCAGCCCCCCTGCCTCCCAGCCCCAGCCGCTCACCTCAGCGCCAGCAGCGCGCCCTGGGCCAGCCCCCCGCGGCACGCCCCCAGCATGTCCGCCTGCGCCAGCTCCACCCGCCGCTGCAGCAGGCGGCAGGCGCTCTCCAGGAAGCACCAAAGAGCCGCCTCCCGCGCCTCCTCCTCTGCCCCTGATTCTGCAGCCGCCCGCCGCCCCTCCCCTGCCTCTGATTCTGCAGCCGCCCGCTGCTCCTCCTCCGCCTCTGATTCTGCAGCCCCAGCTGGTGGTGGTGGTGGTGGTGTGGGGGGAGCCTCGACGGCGCCGCTCACCACATCCAGCCCCCAGCAGCAGCCCCCCGCGTCGCCGCCGCCGTACTTGCGCAGCAGCAGCAGCAGCAGCTGGGCGCCGGCGTCGGCCTCGCGGCCGCGCGGGCAGGCCAGCAGGCGCAGCGCGCGGCGCAGCAGCGGCGCCAGCGCGGCGGGGGTGGCAAAGCCAGGCAGCGGGGAGGGCAGGCGCAGCAGCACCGCGGCGGCCGCCTCGCGCAGCCGCTCCCAACTATCCAATGCGGCAGCTGCGGCAGGAGGCAGGCAGGAAGGGGAGGCGGGGAGGCAGGCGGGCAGGTTGGCAAGCCAGGCAGGCAGGCACACAGGCAGGCAGGCAGGTGGGCAAGCCAGGCAGACAGGCAGACAGGCACGCAGGGCAGGTGGGCAGGCCGCCAGCCAGGCCAGCAAGAGGCAGGCAGGCCTCCACAGGCAGGCGTCCACACAGGCAGGCCCGCCCACAGCGGCTGAGGAGCTCTCACCCATCAGCAGCTGCACTGTTCCCTGGGTGAGAAAGCGGGGCCCAAAGGCGTCAAACTGGGCGGGACGCAGCGTGGCGAACAGCAGGCACCACGCGGGCGGCGCCTGCAGGGAGGGGCATGGCCGGCGCATGTCAGGGCAGCTCAGCGGCGCGGCGGCAGAGCCAGACAGCAAAGCCAGACAGCCAGGCTGCTGCTTAAAAACGAAAAAAAAGTGGGGAGCAGGCAGACAACAGGGAGTAGAAAGTCAAAGGGGAGGAAGGCAAGGGAGGAAAGCGCGGCGCCGCCTCACCACCGCAGGGTTCAGCAGGTCCCCAAACGCGCCCAGCAGCTGTGCCAGCAGCTCCAGAGCCATGCAGGAGCGCTGGTGGGTGGCGCCTGCAGCACATGGCGTGCAGGCGGCGGGGTGGGGGCGCGGCGGCGGCGGCGGCGAGGGCCGCAGACCTGGCGCGGGCACAGCGGCGGGCGGGGCAGGCGCTGGGCTTGCTCGGAGCGCCGGGCCGGTGCAGCACCAAGCACGCCACACGCTACCGCCCGCCCCCAGACTCTGTCAAAATGCACCACAACGAAAACCAATCCAGTCCACTCCCTCACACAAAACACAAGAGTCACGCAGGGCACAGCACCAACCGCACGCGCCTGGGTAAAGGCTGTCCAGAAGGGTGCCGCCCAGCCAGTGCAGCCAGCGCTGCTGCGCGGCCACGGCTGCAGGGCGCAGGCGGCGGAGGCAGCGGGCGGGAGTTGAGGAGGCACCTGTGCCGCGCCCAGGCGCGCCCACCGGTCCTGATCCCGCCCCACCCGCCCCAGCCATGCAGAAGCACGCTGCAGATGCGCCCGGGACAAGCCCAGCTGCTGAGGGGAGCAGCCGGGTGCACCTCTGGCAGCGGCCGCCGCAGCGTCGGACCCCGGTGGGGCGGGCTTGCGGGCGAGGATGGCGGCCACGGCGCCGCGCTGCCGCATGAGCAGCTTGCCCAGCTGGGCCAGGGTCTTGTGCTTGAGGGAGGTGCTGGGGCATCTGCAGGGCTGGGCCGGGGAGGGGAGGGTGCAGGTAGGTGAGGGCTGCTTGAAGGAGTGGTGGCATGGGGATGACGCAGAGGGCGAGGGTCGGGTAGGCAGGCAGGAAAGCAGGCAGGCGGCCAGGCAGGCGGGCAACGCAAGGTGGCAGGCAGGCAGCCAACCATGCAGGCAAGAAAAAGCAGGCATGCAGGCAGGGAAAGCAGGCATGTAGGCAGGCCAGGCGAGCGGGAGCGCGCGCCTGAGGGTCAGCCGCACCGCCTCCGCCGCCACCTCCAGCTCAAGGTCACTGGGGGGCTCCGTGGCGCGCGGGTGGCTGCACACCAGGGTCAGCGCATCCACCCTGCAAGAGAGGAGGAGAGAGAGGGAAGGTTAGGAGGCAGGGGAGCGGGAGGGGTACGGGAAGAACTAGGTAGTATGGGACACCTGTTCCGCTATGGGGGGTATGGGAGGGAGGGCAGGAGAGCGACAGATGTCATGTTTTCTGCTGGTGAAGGTACAGGGCATGGGCTGACGACGCACCTGAGGCACTCGTCGGCGGAGCGTACCGCTGCCAGCAGGGCGGCCCGTACCGCCTCCGCACCCAGCCCCTCCACGGGCAGCAGGTGCAGGTCTGGCAGCAGCTGCTGCCTGCGGGCCGCCGTCAGTACCGCCAGGCACCCGGCAGCGGAGCCCTCTGCGGGGACCTTCCCGCCAGCTGCCGACGCGGCGGCAGCAGGGGCGGCCCCCGTGGGCGAAGGGACAGCTGCAGGGCTGCCCGGCAGCAGGCGGCCCAGCAGCAGGCCCAGAGCAGGAGGGTCTTGCGCCAGCAGGCGGGGCAGCAGGTGGGAGGCGACGTTGTCCCGCAGCTGCTCGCTGCCGTCCCGCAGCGCAGCCGTCAGTGGTGGCAGCCAGCAGGCCCGCCAGTCGCCGCCGCCCTGGCCGCCGCCGGCGCCGCCGTTGCCGCGACCGCCGTTGCTGCCTGCGGCAGCTGCTGCGGCTGCGGCGGCAGCTGCTGTGCCGCCAGGCCTCCCGGCTGCCTCCTGCTGAAGCTGCGCCAGCAGGGCCAGGAGCATGCCAGTCACGGCAGAGGCGATGAGGTGGAACGACATGGCTTCCAGGCAGCTGCCCACCAGCCCCGGCTGCAGCGCCAGCAGCGGCGCGGCGCCGACGCGCGGTACCAGCGCCTGCAGCGCAGCGTACCGCCCCTTGCGGTTCGCGTCTGCAGCGGGGCGGGACAGGGGCGGCAGGCCAGGGGGCATGGACGGTGGGCGGGGCAGGTGGCAGGTGGTACGGGCATCGACGTACTGAATCAGACTGGTACTTTTGGGCGGTACTGCTTCAAGGCAGGCCGTGCAAGCGCCTCACCCACTCCCAGCAGGTCTCGGGCAATGCCCAGCAGCACGCCGCCGCTGCGCGCGCCGCCAGCGCCGCCGCTCATGGGCCCTCCCGCCACTGCCTCCTCCCGCTGCTCCTGCTGCCGGCTGTTGACCAGCTGCTGGTCAGCTACCAGCTGCTGCTGCAGCTGCAAGATGTCCAGCAGGCACTCAAAGGAGGCCACCACTCGGTGCAGCGTCTGGCTGAGGGGAGCCTGCGGGACGGGGTGGAAAGAAGCTGGGAAGCCAGGTGGACGTGAGGAGGCGGTGCCGGGGCGAGGTGGCGGAATGCAACAGAGCCCGCGGTACAGGGTGTTATATATATATATATACGGTTATATATATACGGCAGACCAGGCGGTACAAGCCGCAGCACGTGCTGCAAATTGAGGTGGTACAGCAGGCTTCTCGCCAGGCGGTACGCCCACCTCGAAGCCCTGCCACAGCAGGCCCAGCACGAGGCGCTGCCGCTCCTCGTCCAGCAGCGGTACCGCCGCCGCTGGGCCCCCTGCCGCCCGCTCATCTCCCAACTGCCGCTCCTGCTCCTGCTCCTGCTCCTGCTCCTGCTCCTGCTGCTCCTGCTCTGGCTGCTCCCCCTCCTCCGGCGGCGCTGCCTCGGCGGCCAGCGCCGCCGCAGCCGCCGCCTGCTGCTGCCGCACGCGCTCCAGGCAGGCGCAGAGCGTGGAGTGGGCGTGGAAGCGGAAGTGCTCATCGGTGGTGCCCTGCACGGCGGGCAGCGCAGGGAGGCGGCGGTGGGGAGGCTGAGGCGGAGGGTGGAAGGCGGAGGCTGCAGCTGGCTGGCACGCAACATGGCTGACTATTGTAGCCTCCGGCGCCCCGCGTGGACAGTAGGCCGCCTCAGCACTACGCCCGCTGTCCTGCCTGGGGGCAGATTTCAGCAGGAGGGGTACCGCTGTACCGCTGTACCGCTGCAGTGCCGCTCTCGGCGCCAAAACTACGCGCACAACCAGCCTCCCAGCCCCCCCCCCGTCAGCCTGCCTGCCAACAAACCTGGATGGCGGCTGCAATGGCCGGCACCGCTCCCTCCACCAGCAACAGCCACTGGGAGGGCGGCTGCGCCGCGCAGGCCCCTGCCGCCGTGCATCGCTGGGCCAGCAGCGGCGCGCACAGCACGGCGGCGGGCATCGCTGAGAGCAGGCCTGCGGAGGGCAGCAGAGAGCGGCGGCGGCGGCAGCGGCGGCAACGGCAACGCAGAGTGAGCCGGGGTGGCAGGCCGGAGGAGGCGGGGACAGGAGAGGCAGGTTCAATCTGCCATGCGTCGCCAACTTGGAACGCATCAAACGTGTTCCCAAGGAGGCGGGTCCAATAGCCCGCTAAGTTACCGGGCCACGGGTGTTTTTCGGACGTCCCGCGCAATGCCAAAACACCAAAACATACACGCGGCAGCCACGGCCGGCTTGCACATCAGCGGCACAGCATGCACAGCATGCACAGCGGCAGCAGCGCCGCCGAGCGGCTCGCGAGCCGCCACCCATGCACCTCGGATGGCACACAGCCGGCTCAGGGGCGGCAGGCGCCGTAGCTCCGCTGAGAGACCTGCCTTGCGCCCGCCATGCTGCTGCCGCTGCTGCAGGCGAGCATCCAGCAGGCCGATGGGCGCCCGCTGCCCTTCCGCCGCCTCCGCCGCCGGCTCTCCCGGCAGCAACAGCAGCACAGGCGGCGGCTGCTCGCCGCTGCCCCCGACGCTGCTGCTTGTGCCGCCGTTGGGGATGTGCTGCTGAGGCTGCGCCAGCAGCAAGCCCTCTGCAAAGCAACGGGCGACCGCCGCCGGCGGCGCGGCAGGCAGCGCCGCAGCAGCATACAGCGCGACGGCTGCAGAGGCCAGCGCTTCCCGCACCAGCGCCTGCCGCTGCAGCGCCAGCAGCAGCGCCTCGCCGGCCGCCGTCACGGCTGCGGCGGCCGCCTCTGGCTGCTGCCTCAGCATGGCTGGGCCATAGGTGGAAAGAAGAAAGTAGAGCGCAGATACTGCGGCAGGGAGCGGGGAACAGGAAGAAAGAAGGAGGCCAGGCGGCGGGCCCGGTAAGCCAAGGTCGCACAGCGGCGGGTGGGTGCTGCAGAGGCGGCGGCTGCAGCGTGGCAGCTGCAGCGGCCGACAGAGACGGCGGTACAAGCCTTGCCGCGGCGGTACGAGCAGCACACTCACTGCTGTCCTGCAGGCCTTCCATGGCTTGAATGGTGATGCTGGCCAGCCCCCCACCCCCTGCCTCCTCCCCTGCTGCTGCTGGCGCCCCGGCTGCCGCCTCCCCAGCCCCCGACGCTGCCGCCTGCTGCTCCGACTCGCCGCAGAGCGGCAGCAGGGCCGCTTGGATGCCGGCAGCCAGCGCCGCCACAGCAGGCACAGCGCAACCAAGCAGCGCGGACTTGCAGGCTGAGTTGGCCAGCAGTGCCGCCAGCGCTGAGCCCAGAGGCAGGGCATCGGCAGCGCCGCCGCCTGAGCCTGCCAGATGCGACTCTGCCAGCTCTGAGATGCGGGCTGCCGCGGTTTCAGCAAACGTCTGGGCGCCGGCATCAGCGCCAGCGCACTGCTCCTGCTCCTGCCACTGCACCTGCTGCTGCTGCCGCTGCCGCTGCTGCTGCTGCGCCTCCAGCAGCGGCCGCAGCGCCGACAGCAGCGGCTTGTGCAACGGCCGGCTGGCGGGCAGCAGCAGCAGCTCGGCCAGCAGCGCCTGCATGCGGCGTAGGCTGGCTTGCTGCTGCCGCCGCTGCTGCTGCTGCGGGCTGGATCCCTCGCCAGGCTCCGCCGCTTGCTGCTGCACCAGCGGCATGCCAAACTGGACGGCAAAGGAGCAGAGAGGCTTGAGAGCCTCTATCTCCGAATAGGTGCCCCCTAACTGCAACAGGTGCAGCAGCAGCGCGGCAAACCGGCGCAGCTCTGGCGAGGCATCTGCCTCGGCAGCCAGGGCGGCAACCTGCAGCACAAGTGGTGGGAGTTGTGTGGTGAGCCCAGGCGACCTCAGATGAGGAAGGGGCCCGGAAAAGGAGGGCAGCGGCGGCAGCGGCGGCGGCGGCGGCGGCATGCATGCATCGCCTGGCTGCTGCAACCGGCCCAGAAAGGTCGCCGGAGCAGTTGTAAACGCCGCGCGGGCTGCCCAGGTGAGCACAGCATAGGCAGGGGCAGGGCATGCAGCACATGCAGCCTGCGCAGGTGAGCATCGCCCCAATTACCTCTGCGCGATAGGCATCTGGCACTGACAGCCCGCTGCCCTCATATCGCCGGGATTTCTGTTGCCTTTTGAGCTTTGTGAGGTCACAGACCATTCTCTGCCGATGCCGGTGCTCCGATGATGCACACCGATGGGTGCGGTTGGAATCGATCAGGGAAGCTCCAGCAGGGAACCGCACGCCTACGTGGCGATGGCCGAGCTTTGAAGCGCCAAAACAAGGAGTCTCGCGTTGTTCGATCGCAGCCATGGATCGCCGCACTCCAACCAAGCCATCACGCCCACTGGCTGGGGGAGGGAGGGCCCCACTGCAGCTCCGCTTCTTGTTAGCCCTCGTGCTGGGCTCGGCGGCGCTGCTGGTGTTGTTCAGCATGACGCTAAAGGTGAGTCAATACTGGCAACGCAAGCTACGCCCGGTGCAGATTGCAGGCGTGTGGCGGGGGGTGGAGCCGCCCGTTCCGCCGTGCCTGCAAGCCCGTGCCCGGACCCCTGCCTGCGCCCGCAGCTGCCGCGGCAAACACTGTTTCTAGAGGAGGAGCTGGCGGAGCTGCTGGGGACGCACATGGCTGGGTGCTGTCCCTGCCCGACAGGCCTCGGCAGCGCACCCAAGTACTGTCACCTGGGCCTCCCGCCCAACGACACAGAAACGGAGGAGGCAGCAGGCGGCGGCAGCGGCGAGGGCAGCAGCGGCGAGGCCAGCAGCGGCAGCGACCAGGCAGCCTCCGGCGGCGGCTCGGCGAATGCCACAGCTGCAGCAGAGGCGGCGGGCGCTGCCGTAGCCAACGTCACGGCAGCAGGCGCCGTCAACGGCAGCAGCAACAGCAACAACGGCGGCAGCGGCCGCATAGTGCCGCGGCACCGGCTGGCGGTACTGATCCCGTACCGCGACCGCGAGGCGCACCTGGCAGTGCTGCTGGCGGCGCTGCGGCCTCACCTGGACCGGCAGAAGCGGGACCACGACGTCTTTGTCGTCGAGCAGGTGGGGCCTCCTTTCTGCTTCTTACGGGCCTGCAGGAACGCTGACCTGCTCCAGCTTGCTGCAGCAGCAGCATAACCTGCCCTGCAGCACGCTGGCTGCGCTTCGGTTGCCAGCTTGCCGAGCAGCTAGGGGAGAAGGCTTGCATCCTGCCCCGCTGGCCCCGCTTCAAACCCACTGGCCGCTCTCACACCGCACCACACACCACCACACACCACCACCCACACCGGCCCCTGCCACACCCGCAGGGTGATGCCTACCTCTTCAATCGCGGCCTGCTGCTCAACGCGGCGGCCCTGCTGCTGCAGGGCAGCAGCTACGACTACTTTGCTTTCCAGGTGGGGCGCGGGTGGTCCCCTGGGGGGGCCTGGAAACGGGAGGGACGGCGGCTGTGTCTGCCCGTCGCCGCACAGGGCAGCAGCAGAGCCGTCGTGCCGCTGCGCCGCGCCAGAACGGCTCATCCCCGGCCTCCCCTCGTCCTGCCTGCCCCTTGCGGCAGGATGTGGACACCATCCCTCTGGAGAAGGGAAACATCCAGTACAGCTACCCGACAGGTGCATGGGGCAGTACCGCAACAAATCGCTGCAGAGCGAGTCCTTTGCGTAGCTGCCCGTCTGTTGCTAGGCCCCGAGCTCTTTGTGTGCCTGCTGAGCTGTCGGATGGCTGCCTGTGCTGCAGGTCAGGCGCCGCTGCACCTCACACCTCACTGGCTGCATCCCAAGAGCACGTACGAGGCAAGCCGCTCGGCGACCTATGCACCCGCTTCAAGGCATTTCAGCTCTGATCCCCACCCGCCTGCCCGCTCACGTCCAAACCCAAACCTGGTGCCCGCAGGACTTCTTCGGCGGCCTGCTCATCATGACGGCAGAGCAGTTCTGGCGGGTCAACGGTTTCGGCACACAGGTGGCCTCGCCTCAGCCGCAGCCCGGCTGCTTCCTCTGTGCCCAGCTCTGCTCTGCTACGGCTGCGTTGCGCCGCCGCGCTGCACCGTGCTGGCCTTGACGCGCCACTGCTGCCCGCTCGAAGAAGCGTGCGCCTCCGCCGCCCTTCCCTCCCCTTGTGCAGTTCTGGGGATGGGGCCGCGAGGACGACAACCTGCGGGAGCGGCTGGTGCAGGCGGGTGGGTTGGCTGGCCGCTGGGCGGATGGCAGGCCACAAGCGGCATGCTGGCGCGCTTCGAGCTGCACACGGCATGCCTTCCCTCCAAGCTCCCGTGCACACGTGCATGCACCCACCTATACCCCGCCCTACCGGCTCCACATCCTTGCCCACCCACCTGCGCACCATCTGACTGCGGTGCATGCAGGCATGTGGCCCCCGCAGTACCCCATAGCAGCCAAGGAGGCCGGCAGGCGCAGCAAGAGCGCTTACTTCAAGCATCAGGCCCACCAGCAGGCCTCTGAGGTGGGTGGGCTGCCGCCGCTGCGGACGAGACTGCTGTAGAGCCGCAGCTGGCCGCGGTGCTTCCCCCACCTCCCACCCCTGCCTTCTCCCTCCACCATGCTGTTGAGGGCGTGCCGCCGCTGCTGCCCGCCGCGTCCCGTGCAGCTGCGGGCGGCGGAGGATGCCAGCGGCATCGTGCAGTACTTCCAAGAGAATCCCAGGATACCGTACCGCGGCGCCAAGATCATGAGCAGCCAGCCGCAGTTCCTGCGGGACTTCGACACCGGCCTGAACACCACCATGTTCAGGTGGGGTGGCTGGCTGTGGTGCTGAGCTGGCGCTGAGCTGGCGCGTGGCGCTGCTGGCGGCGGCGCCTCTCAAGCCGGGGTTTCAGCTAGCTGGCCCCTTGCTGCCGCATGTGCTCTGGCCTGGTGTCCAGCTGGCAGTCCGGACCACCATCGATGCATGCACCTGCATCCCCATGCTCGCACCGACCGGCCCCACCGCCCACCTCCTGCCTCCACGCCGCCGCCGTCGCAGGGTGCTGGCCATGCAGCCTTTCCTCAACGCCACCCGCCTCTCCCTACACCTTTACTGCAACATCACCGCCACCCCCTGGTGCGAGCGCGGCGCCATCGGCAAGCGCGTGGCTCCCGCGATACGCCATGCCGCGGCGGTGCACGCGGTGGTGGGAAGCTAGCGGGCGGCGGGACGGCTGTACCGCTTGCAGCCTCCACGTCTGTTGTTGTCATCATCATCATGTACCCACTGTACCTGTGTACTGCAAATATATACCTATCAGTTGAGTCCAGCTCTTACAGGTACTTCCCCAGGGCATTCCGAGCCTTCCAGTGTGCCTGGAGAGCAAAGTGTGACAGAGGAGGGTGCGACAAGAATGAAGGGGCGCGCGGCTTGTGCGTGCTTTTCTCTTTCGTTAATCAGGGGAGGGTCGTTCGGTTGGGTGCCCGGTAGTAGGGACAGGCTCCACAATAGAGGCGTGCCGCCAATGTAGGACATACGCTGAAGGGCGGCACAGGCAGAGGCAACGTGGGGGCGAGCTTGGGCTGGCCATCCAAAAATTGTGGGGGGTGCGGGTGGATGGGTTGGGGAGGCCAGTGCCCGGCCGGGCGCCTTATGCGCAGGGCTGGGCGAGGAAGAAAGTGCGGTACCAATGACGACGATTGGCATTGTGCGGTACAGGGCGGGTGTGTGTGGGGGGATAGGAGCGTTTTGTGCGAGGGGCAAACAAAGATGTGAACAGCAGCGTTGTGGGGCGGCGCGCGGGAGGAATGCCGCGCGCCGCCAGCAGAGGCGAGGGCAGAAAAATGCCCGCCGGCGGGCAGTGCGCCCGCTCTGAATGAAGGCGAGGGAAGGCACAGCACTGTTGCGCTACCACAGCAGACTTGAATAGCACTCGTCCGCCCAATCAACGGGTGGCACAACTAGGAAGGGAAAGCAAGCGCACGTCTACGCATACTGGCGCGGCAGGGCCGCTACCCGGCTCACCGGCTCGCCGCCGCCACAGCCTGCCAGCCATCAAAACAGAGTGTGACAGGAATATGACAAAATGGACATAAGTTGGGCGTGACCGGACGCCAGCTCAGCTCGGGTGGGCTGGCGGTACAGCACGCCCCATCAACACTGTACCGCTGCCAGCCTAGCGGCAGGCCGCCCTCGGCAGGCGGCCGCCCGGCTGGCGCATGCTGTGGTAGGTGTGTGGGGTGGGGCGGGGGGGAGCGGGTGAG